TGAGCGATCCGACCAGCTTAAAAGAATGGTTAAAGAGAAATCTTCCAACATTGAAGCTTTGGGCAAATCTCTTACCTCAGTGCATGATGATGTAATGGTTCTGCAGAAAGAAAACGAAATGCTAAAAAATGCAAATGCTCTCCTGGAAAAAAAGGTCAAGGAAATGAACGCGAAAATTCATGACCAGGAACGTTACAGCCGCAGATGGTGCCTGCGTTTGTATGGGCTGTCCGAACAAACTAATGAAAATGTGAAAATGAGAGTTATGGAAGTATGCAAAGCGGTAGTTTCGGACGTGGACAAATGGGTGGTAGCAGACGGTCTGGATGTGGCACACCGTCTGGGCAGGCTTAAAACTTCGGATGATGGCAGAAGAGTGAAACCAAGACCGGTGATCATGAGATTCGTTTCCCGTACAGCCAGAGATTTAATCTGGAAAAACTCAAAAAACAACGAGTATCTGTCTATCAAGGGGCTGCGGTTTAAGGAGGACTTGACTGCTTTCGACCAGGGGCGGATTTAGTGAATTGGGGGCCCCAGGCAAAATATAGGAATGGGGCCCTATACATTTGCACACATTTTCCTAGATCAACCTTGAGGTTCCATTTTGTTGTTTTCAGCGTAAGCCTGTGTGCAAAGGCTGTCTAATTCTAAACTTTAAAATACATTTATTTTTAGTTGTTTTAACTACAAATTTAAATAAAACTGAAAAAATAATGAAAAGGCAATTATACATTTACACACCTAAAATACATATATCAAGAGCATGCTCACAGATGAAAGATGAGAACAAAACAGCGTTGGATGAAGTGGATTAGAGCCCTGCACGGGCCTCAAATATAGGCCCTAGCCCATCTTTTTTCCCCTTTTCCCAAAAAAAGCTTATACTACTGTTTCAGCTACTAAAATAGTTCAGCTTTGTATGTAATGAAAAAGTGATTATATTTCGTTTCATTTTTTTATAAAGTAAATTTAGAAAAACGTTTGGAGCATTTTTTGACCGTTAAATGTAAGTTTTTTTTTTTAAAGGGGTCATATGATGCGATTTAAATTTTTCCTTTCTCTTTGGAGTATTAGAAAGCTCTTGGTGCATAAAGAAGATCTGTAAAGTTGCAAAGACTAAAGTCTCAAATCCAAAGAGATATTCTTTATAAAAGTTAAGAGTCAACCACGCCTACCTATTGGATTTTAGACTTTAGTCTTTGCAACTTTACAGATCTTCTTTATGCACCAAGAGCTTGTAACACTCCAAAGAGAAAGGAAAACTTGAAATCGCATCATATGACCCCTTTAAATCAGAGGGTTTTACAAATATTTAACCAATGATAAGTATTACAAAGAGCTTGTCAGTAAAACTTCGTAACGCCATTGGATCCTCAAGCTCTCAGCGAAACTTCACCCTGCCTCCATTTAGATTGACGAGCCACGCACAGGAGACAGATCTCCGCTTTTTCGCAATGCAAGGGTAAATAAATAACTGATGTTTGAATAGTACACTATGTCTGTAAAGGCTAATGTTTTTGTGTGTTTGAAGAGCAGAGAAGTAGGTTATTTGCCTTCTAGCCATTATACTTTTGTACGTTTTAAATATCCTGTGCATAAGCGCTTCATCATTTATATCATGAGATTTTGGCCAAGTGTATTAAATAACAAGAAAAGGCTTCCCTGTCTACGTCACTTCCCTGTCTACGTTTTCAACAAAGCCCCCTCCTTTGACAAGCGCAGTCTGCTCTGATTTGCCAGCTGACCCAGTGCATTGTGATTGGCCGAACACCACAAGCACGCATCGGAAATGTAACGTCCCTTACCATAATCGCGAGCGTCAGCTTTCAAAGTAAATATCAAGACAGTTAATAATGTCGTTAGTTTTACCATCAGTTCAAGCCCGAAAAGGCAACAGAGTCGCGTGACAGACACAGTGATGATGCAGTACACAAGCCGCGGTTAAGACAGCTGACGTGCTATGATTTCTGACAGGCAGTTCACTCTCCTGTGATGTGACCCTGTTCCCCCTCACACACACACACACATTTAGATTGACGAGCCACGCACAGGAGACAGATCTCCGCTTTTTCGCAATGCAAGGGTAAATAAATAACTGATGTTTGAATAGTACACTATGTCTGTAAAGGCTAATGTTTTTGTGTGTTTGAAGAGCAGAGAAGTAGGTTATTTGCCTTCTAGCCATTATACTTTTGTACGTTTTAAATATCCTGTGCATAAGCGCTTCATCATTTATATCATGAGATTTTGGCCAAGTGTATTAAATAACAAGAAAAACTAAGCGCCCATATAGCAACAATAAACATTATATAACCTGTAAAGGTTGATGAAAGCGTATAATGTGATACACTTGCCTCAGAGGTGGCCGTTCTATTGACAGACAAAACACAGATCTCCTCATTCGCCGGCCAAAAACATTGTTAACTCCATTTGAGCTTGTTTTTCATATAGCCTAACGTTAAGTGCAAGTGTCTGATACAATACCAACACTGACGACACAGTGTTGGTTAATTATTTACTTTTTTCCCCCTTTCTTTTTTCCCCCCTAGTATTTCAGTAGAGTGTGCCATGGAATTGTTTTATTTATCAATTATACGCACTGCAGACGGAGTATGTGTGAAACAGGCATAAGAGATTTATTCATTATACAGTGTAGATAGCTTCACTGATTATAATGGGAGTTTTTTTTTTTAAGTGCATAAACTCGCACTAGACTGAAGTCAGTGATGATGTTGTTTGATAATGTAAATGTCCTTTGCTCGTTTTCTGTCGCTCCTGTTTGAATAACTGAGGAAATGTAAGCATTATAATTAGTAATTTACAATGTTTCTACTAAATGTTATCATGTTAATTCAGATTCATGCTACCTGACTGAAAAGATTTAATGTGTAGTTGATAGATTACAGTAACATTACCCAGCCGGCATTTCAACGTTGATTCACTGGTGAATCAACGTCAAGTACCATGGTTGAATCAACGTTGGATTATGTTTCGATTTTGCAAATTGGATCAACGTTGAAATCATGACGTTGTTTCACCGTCGTACCTTCAGCATGGGTGAATTAAGGTCGTTCTGTAGACGTTGGATTAACGTTGAATTAGGTATTGATTTTGCAAATTGAATCAACGTTGATAACGCGACGTTGTTTCACCGCCGTACTTTCAACATGGGTGAATACACAACTGTACATTCAATGAGAACCTAGTTTGCATTTAGATCAACACTGTACATTATAAAGGTTAAAAATCTAATGACTGGAAGCAATGGCTTTACAATCAACTTCAATTAACTACCACATGCTCAATATTGTAAAAGAACAGTTTTATTTCGGAAACATACTGTATAAAACACATGAAAATAATCCTAAACTTTAGTTTGCAGTGTTTGTGCTTGGATGTATTGTTAAAAACCTGTAAAAGAACCCTCTTAAAACAAATGTGTTAAAAACAACACAACGTGTTATTATCAACACATGTTCTGAGTGTGCTCCGGGACAACAAATGTTGAGTTAAATTAAACATAAAATGGGTGTTAAATATATGACACAAATTGTGTCACTTTAGTTAACACATTAATTTGATATTTTGGTACGTGTCTTACACAACTGTGTGTTACTGAGCAATTATTTTTAAGTTTTTAAATAAAAGATAATAGTCTGTTAACAATTTAGATACTTTTATTGTGAAATCACACAAAGAACCATTGAAGCACACACTGTTTAACATAAACCATGTTTAATTTGACAATATTCAGTACTTTCTTAAGCAAACTATTGGCTGGTCAATTAGTCTGAGTCTCAGATGGCAAGTCCACAAACCATCTGATGAATATTGCACAAAACTGTAAAGCACAGTTGGGAATCAGTTGTAATCTGACTAATTTCATGGAATTGTAACAGGTATAAAAGTGTTTGTGCGGCACTGGTTGATCCTTGGTTGACCAATCAGCGGAAAGGTGTGTTTCATGTCTGTCTATATGTGGAAATCGAATATTCAAGCTCTTTATCCCCCCAAAAAATTCAAAATCTTCTTTTTTTTTTTCTCTATCTCATTTTAATTCCTTTCAATATTAAATCAGAAAAACAAACGATTGCAATGTACATGGCCTGGATCGGCATGCTGAAAACTAATTCAAATTTTTTTTTTCCTTAGGTTAAGACTCAAGTTGTTTTTGGAATATTCATATTCATTGTTTTTTGAGTCAAATCTGAAGTCATTTCAGTTTGAGTCTGAACTCTGTTAAACTTGAATCTGTGTCACTAACTCGACTGCCTGGTTTGATAATTGATATGTATGATATGTATTACATCTGTGTTTTTCAACTAAAACAGCATTAAAAAACAATTACATTAGACACGAGTCAAGCACTAATAACTCATCTTTCATTTTCTTTATATTCTCTGCAGTCTGTCCAGCTGTGGTATTACACAGGAAGGCTGTGCTGCTCTGATTTCAGCTCTGAGATCAAACCCCTCACACCTGACAGAACTGAATCTGAGCGATAATAAATCAGGAGATTCAGGCGTGAAGCTTCTCTCTGTTCTACTGGAGGATCCACACTGCAAACTGCAGAAACTACAGTGAGTGTTATTATGTTATTTAATTGGTTTTGCTTTTATTGCGAAATATTGATGTGAACCTTTTAACTCCTTAAACTGGCCATTGAGAGTAAAGGAGAAACAGAATATGACGATACATGATGAACTCCTGTGATTCGACAGATAATCATAATGTCATATTAGTGTTAAATATAACCAAATTCTTCAGTTTATGGCTTTATAATTAAGTCTAGAACTTTTAATGGATGAATAAAAATGTGATCTAAATCATCAGTGTCATTTAAATTATAAGTGCAAACAGATTTCTCTTTCTCTCTCACACACACACGCACACACACAAAACCATCATATTTCTCTCACTAAATCACAGTATAAATTTAGAAATTTGAAACTTTCATATCACATGTAGTCACTTAAATAAATTTTTTCACTGTGCAGTGATGTTCTAGACCATGTTCAACTTAAATCGTTGTATGGACATGAATAAAACACATCATGCTATGTTTTGCAGAGACAACTAAAGATTTACCAACCAAATATGACAAATCCATGTGTTAGATAGATTGCTGTCACTGCTTTCTGTGGAGGAATGCTGCTGCTGATCAACATTAACTCTTTCCCCGCCAGCTTTTTTGAAAAATGTTGCCAGCCACCACCAGCATTTTTGATCATTTTCACAAAAACATTCATAGCCACCAGAATATTTTGTTGTATAAATATCTGAACATGCAATACATCAAAATAAAATACAGAGCCTCTACTTTTAAACAAACAAACAAAAAAAATCTGTTTTATTCTAGCTTGAATAAAAATTGATTGTTTTATTCAACACTTGAATGTAGGTAAGTTTCATAAAAAAAGCAAAATTTTGATCAAAAAATTGCATTTTTATCAAATACTACATTTGGATCATATTCAGTTCGTTGATCAAAGCATAGATGCAGTAGATCGCTTCCATCAACACCGCCAAAGCTTCACAGTCCTTTTACCACTTCCGGGATTGCCATTTCACTCGGTAACATTAGGCAGTTTTCATTTATATGCTGTTTATTGTTGATGATCGCATTATTTTTCATATGCATCTGCTTACATATGAGATCGCTTGTTTCTGCGTCTTCCTAGTCAGTGTTTTCGATCGGGAGATTTTGACAGGGAAAGAATTAAACAATCACTGTGACACCATGGCAACCAAAGAAAAAATATATAATTTTCAGATTACAAAAATGTATGTCAAGAATGAATAAATAATTAAAAATATTATATCTGTGTTCATGACCCACCTTCTAACTGCAAAGAGTCCATTTAAATTCATTGCTTAACTTGTGCTTGTGCTGGCAAGTTAAAATCTCTATAGCAACGATCCTGGAGTGACAGAGAAAAGCAGAGTTCATACAAACACACACAAGTTTTTTTTTTCTTCTTCTTTTTTCTCCATGTCACAGAAACAGACTCTCACCCTAAAGCTTAAACACAATCTCAGCGATCATTCATGTTTTTCACTCTCTGCAGGCTGAGTAACTGCAGTATTAGAGAGAAAGGCTGTGCTGCTCTGATTTCAGCTCTGAGATCAAACCCCTCACACCTGACAGAACTGAATCTGAGCTATAATAAACCAGGAGATTCAGGAGTGAAGCTGCTCTCTGCTCTACTGGAGGATCCACACTGCAAACTGCAGAAACTACAGTGAGTGTAGTTTTATTATTGAATATTTGTTTATCTGTAATGAGAAATATTGATTTGAAACTTTGGCCCCACTTTATATTAGCTGGATTCAGCCGCTATACATCAACTAACATGGTCATTATAAAGGTGTTTAAACTACCAAATGTATTTACTTGCACGTATCTGAGAATCGGAATATCAGATATTTCATAATATAATGAACACATTTGTGAATATTTTGAATAAAACAGGAAAAATGAAATAAAAAGCGATACATCACTCATTCACAGCTATATTGTGGCTGCGGTGTGTCACATGACAATCATGACACGTCGCCATGGAAGCAATAAGACGATACATTCTAAAATAACAGTTTTATCATTGTAGGGCGGTTGTGTTCACACACTGCCAACACACATTTATGTCCAAACACCATGTAAAAGTGGATTTTGCATAATAGGTGTCCTTTAATAATAAAATAATGAATTGTTAGGTACAACATACCTATTGTGTTTCTTGAATCAGTGGTGGAAAGAGTACTGAAAAAATATACTCAAGTAAAAGTACCATTACCTTCCAAAAAATGTAGTGTGAGTAGAGTAAAAGTACTTGTCCAAAAAACTACTTGAGTAAGAGTAAAAGAGTAGCCTATTTAAAAGTACTCATGAGTATTGAGTAGTGAGTACTGAGCTGTGGATTCTACCCCCTCATAATAAACGCTGTACACCGCAATTGATACCTGAAGTGTTGAACTTGAAAATTGTTTATGCGCGAGCGAGTGCACTTGCTAAATGAAAGCGGATTGTATAAAATGGATTTTTTTTTAAAACGTTTATTAACGAGCTGCAGTTTTATTACATCACCCGCTGGCACAGATGCAGTAGCCTATATTAACGCCAGGGGTCATCAATAAGGTGCAGATTTGGTCCTCAATTTGTGTTTCCAACACACTTTTTCACGCAGATTTGGTCCTCAATTTGTGTTTGCAACACACTTTTTCACAGCGCGCATCACGCGCTCAAACTCATCAAAAGTCAACAAGTTCAACAAGCAACAACGACTTATCCAAGTGACCACTGCAGAACGCACGCGAGAGAGAGACGAGGCAGTGCAGATCGCGCGTCTCATTAGGGAGTGGGAATTTACCGAACGTGGCACTTGCGGGAGTTAACACTGTATGTGTTAGTGTGAAACTGCACCAACGATTGGGCTCTAACGGCTAGTCAAAAGAGTGTGTATATTACAAAGACTTTAAATAAGAGACTGTGACTGAACTTATTTATTATGTTATTAATTCATTTACATTTACATTTACATATACATATATATTCAGCAAATTGATCAAATTTGACAGTAAAGACATTTATAATGATGTGAAAGATTTACATTTACATTTAGTCATTTAACAGACGCTTTTATCCAAAGTGACTTACAATTGGGGAATACATCAAGCGATTCATCTTAAAGAGGCAAATAGACACAGGAAATGCTTGTCATACCAAGTTTCAAGCATTGTTCAAATAAGTAAAAGAAAGACAGAGAAAGATGAAAGAAAAGAGAAAAAGATTAAAACATTTTCAGCTGGGAATCAGCATTCCGGATAGGGGTTGGAAGATCATTCCACCAGCCAGGAATGGTAAACGAAAATGTTCTGGAAAGTGATTTTGTGCCTCTTTGTGATGGTACAATGAGGCGTCGCTCACTAGCGGATCTCAGACTTCTGGTGGGAATGTAGATTCGTAAGAGTGAGTGGAAGTAGGCGGGTGCTGAGCCTGAGGCTGTTCTATATGCAAGCAGTGTCTTGAACTTGTTGTGAGCCGTAACCGGCAGCCAGTGCAGGGAGATAAAGAGAGGTGTGACGTAGGCTCTTTTGGGCTTGTTAAAGACCAGTTGTGCCGCTGCATCCTGAATCATTTGTAAAGGTTTGACTGTGCATGATGGAAGTCCAGCCAGAAGAGCATTGCAGTAGTCCAGCCTAGAAATGACAAGGGCCTGGACAAGAAGTTGTGCAGCATTAGGCATTAGGAAGGGCCTGACCTTTCTGATGTTGTACAATGCAAACCTGCAAGATTTAGCAGTTTTTGCAATGTGGTCTTTGAAAGTCAGCTGGTAATCAAAGATTACACCAAGATTTCTGACCGAACTTGATGGGGTAATTATTGATGAACCTAACTGGACAGTGAAGTCATGCTGTAGATTTGGATTGGCTGGGAAGACAAGAAGCTCAGTCTTTGCCAGGTTGAGCTGTAGGTGATGTTCTTTCATCCATGCCGATATGACCGCCAGGCAGCCTGAGATCCGTGCAGCTACCTATGGATCATCTGGTTGAAATGAGAGATAGAGCTGTGTGTCATGAGCATAGCAATGGTAGGAGAAACGATGTGCCTATATAATGGGTCCCAGTGATGTAGTGTATATGGAGAAGAGGAGGGGTCCAAGAACTGATCCCTGAGGAAACCCAGTGACCAGTTGATG